TATCGTTAAAAATTATTTTTTTATTTTGTACAAACAAAATAAATATATTGAAAAATATAAAAACAATAAAAAATTATACTTCAGATGTTAATTTAGTATCAAAAACGTAAAATATTTGAGTAGCCCAAGACATAGCCAAAGATTGAAGCGCCACAGCACTGGTGAAAATTTAAATTTGCCGACTGGAATTCTTTCGGATGATTGACTTTCAGAAAATTGACGCTATACTGTAATTGTGATTAGTATTTGTTAAAATGAACCTAAACTTACTTTATCTTCTTACTTGATGCTCATTAACAAATTACACAATGTATTTTCAACCATTTAATTAAAAAAAATTATATTAAATTAAATTATATATGAAGAAAATTTCTTATTATAATTATATATCAACATTAAAAAAAATGTATTCTGAATAATTTTACAGAGCAGATGACCTAACAACAACAGACGTGCTCAATATCTAAGTTTGTGATGAAGAATAATATCTGTTTTTATGCAGAATATTTTTGAAAGTCTACAAACTTTAACAGCATGTTCTATGGGTCATAAAAATGAAAAAATTCCATATAAACATAGGTTTGAAAATGTTTAATTTCAAAATTGTAGAAATTTTAAAAGTAACCGTAATTAAATAGTTTTTACATACTACAAATTAATAACAAGCTATGGTTTGACATGCATGTTTCATGTGACATTTTAAGTGTTCTTTACTATAATGAACCATTACTCTAACTCAGATATGGCAAATGTAAAATTACTAATTTAAACCCAATTATAATAAACATTGTTATTGCTTTCCTTACAAGAATTGAATCCACTTCAGTCATAAATGTTAGAAATATTAGAAATTTAAGAGTAAACAGGATGAAAAATACAAGTTTGAATATTTTAGAAAAATTGAATTACAATAGAGCATCAATTAATCAATTGGGAATTGGGGTTGTTTGGAAAATCGATTTTTTGGATAACCAATTATGTACAAAAAATATATTAACCTATCCCATGTTGAAATTTGTTCAAATCCTGGTGTGTCCTTAAGTACTCTCTAATGGTCGCGCCAGTGCTGCCAGCTAAAACCACACACCAATAAAAATAATATTGGAGTAGCCCAAGACATAGCCAAAGATTGCAGCACCACAAAACTAGCAGAAATTTAAATTTGCAGACTGGAAAGCTTTTGGTTAATTGACGTTTCAGTTGATTGACATTCAGATAATCGATTCTCTACTGTAATTTTAAATATGAAGAAAGATCTAAACTTAAGTGCAAGTTCTTTTAAAAAAAAGGATTTATATATAAAAATATTTTTAAACTAAGTTTTTATTTTTGTTTTAAAAATTTTCATAAAAAAAATAAAATCCTGCCAAACTCATTTCACAAAGTAGAAAAGGTTTAATTTTAATATAATTTGTTGATCTTCAGAAAGTTTAGAGGTAAATCTTCAATTTCATATTAGAGAGGTTGAGGCGCACGTTTTAAACGTGTAAACGTGTACGTGTGACGTTCGGCGCTGCTTTCCCGTAAGCCTAAAAGTTTGACGATAGTGTTTGGAATGTCGAGCGTGATTCCACCGACTATCCAAACATCATTGTCAAACTTTTAGGCTTACGGGAAAGCGGCGCCGAACGTCACATGTACACGTTTACACGTTTAAAACGTGTGCCTCAACCTCTCTACTATCAAACGAATTTTGAAAACTTTGGAATAATAGTTTTATAAATAGTCTAACATACTGTTCTGCACTTTGACTAATTTTATAAAATATTTTATTTTTATAACATTAAAATCAAAGTCATTTGCATATAACTTTCTGATAAACATTATATGTAATCTATATAAACAAAATAAATTCAATAAAAATAATGACAACAATCAAGAATAAATTCTAAATAAAAAATAGTCTATTTTTTGAATTATTATTTTAATATTACAGAAATAAATTATGTTGCAATGAGCATTACATTGTATGATACAATGTTTTAATAAACAATTTATACCAATGACTATCAGAATATATATAAAAAATTTTGGAACTAAATTATTTAGAATTTTGTTAGAAAAAATTTTCATTTAAAAATTAACTAATATAAATCCAAAAACAATTACGAGAATGGATTATAGGAAACAAATATATGTAGGTATAAGGGAAAATCAAAAAATAATCTGAACTCATCTGCTGAAAATCTTGCAGTATCCCATGTGGTAGGCTGATCTGTGACTCACGTTAAACTCTTTAGTATAGAATCACAATTGACAATATTTCTAAAGATTCCATAATCAATTGTTTCTTATGTTATTAGTTGTCATAATGGTTAGGCATTCAGAATATGTCATTGATCGCATTCGACCTCCCATTCTTGAATCTTTGTACCCATTGATACACAGCTAAATCACATTAAAATAGTTCTTACCATACTGTGATTTCACTTTCTCAGCATTCAAAAAAATGAATATCATCAAGCTGCTCCTTAGTAGTGTAATTCGAAAGTGCTGTGGTCATTTTGGAATCATGCTGCCAGGTACAGATGTAGCAGTGTTGTCATAATTACTACTCAAGCCATGCAGAAAAAATCATTTTGGTTCACAGATTAGCAAACTTCCTTACATCCCAATTATAATGGCAGTTACGACAATATTATATTTACTGAGTTTTCCTTGTATAATCCTTAAAACACTTATTTTTGGACTAGACTTAGTGGAGTCAGTTACAGAACAGATTTTAGAATAAAAACCATTTTCTTTAGAACTGTTGAACACTAGATCATGTTTTAAAACAATCACATGGCTTACAATTTTTGTGATAACTCAGGATGTATTTTCTTCATAATTCGAAGTTTAGACTATTTACAAAATAGTCTAAACTTCACATGGCTTATTCTCCACCTTTTATTTAGTTGACACAGGTTTCACAACAAACGAACAAAAAACTAACCAATTGCATAATGTGCTTATATCTCAAAAATAAAAATTTTAACTTTTATAACAAATTTTTATATATTGGTTTGTTTGGTAAGTTCATAGCAATTTTTAAGAGAAATAAAAGAAACTGTTTTAAAACTAAAAATACACTTTTATTCCATTACATATGTGCCATTGTTTTTAATGGCATGTTGCCATCTATGGGAGAGCTTCATGATACCCTTTTTGTAGAACTTTCCAGTTTTTCACGCAAAAAACTGATCCATGTGGTTTTTGCAAGCTTCCAAAGTGTCAAAGTTTTTATCATGAAGGAAATTTTGCAGAGAACGAAACAAATGGTAGTCCAATGGGGCAAGGTTGAGTGAGTATGGGGGAGATGAGGTAAAACATCCCAGCCTAGTTCCAATAATTTTTGGCGTGTTCATAAAAATGTGTATGGTCTGGCATTATTTTGGTGAAACACAATGTCTTTTCTATTGGCCAGTTCCAGACATTTTTCTTTAATTGTCACGTTCAGTTTATCCAATTGGAAACAATACTGAATAACAATATCAGAATCAATTGTTTGATTCTGTGAAAGCAGCTCGTAGTACAGGATTCCTTTCCAATCCCACATGACCTTCTTTGGATGAAGACTGGCCTTTGGAGTTTTTAATGGTGGTTCATTTTTCTTACCCTATGATCGTTTTTGGCTAATGTTATTATAAATGATTCACTTTTCATCACCTGTCACTAAATGCTTCAGAAAAAGGTCATTTTCATTTCATCTTTCAAGAGAATCACAAATGGAGATGCGATCCAGTAAGTTATTTTCTGTTAAGTTGTGAGGTATCCAAATGTCGTAACGATTCACATATCCAAGCTTCTTTAGATGTTGAAATACAGTACTGTTTGATGACTTCGCTATGTCTGCAATTTCTTGAGTGTATAATGAGGGTTTTCATCCAATAATGCTTTGATCTGGTCTTCTTCAATAACGGAAGGTCTTCCCGAGCAGGGAGCATCTTTAAGGCTGAAATTACCTGCTTTAAATTTTGCAAACCACTTTTGAACAGTTGATTCTGCTACAGACTCCCACCATAAACATCACATATCTTTTTTGCTGTTTGTACAGCATTTCTTCCTTTACGATAAAAAAAAAAAAAAAAACAAGTGTCAATAATGCACATTGTTTGCATCCATTTTTGCAATGAGACAAATTAAACGATATTTGAATAATCTTAAATGGTGTTTTTGTAACGGACATGTCTCAAGGTCATTTATTGTAATATTCATTGGTTTGTACAATTCTAATCATTTTCACTTCAATCAGTGTCTCAACTGTCGGCTATCAAAAATTGCTACGAACTTTCCAAACAATCCAATATTATTTGAAATATTTTAAATATATACAGTCAATCCTCACTTAACAACCATGTGAACTTACAACCAGCTCTCCTCCAACAAGGGAAATCCCTTTCTCTGTCTGAGTCTAGGGAATACCCTAGACTCAGACAGAGAAAGGGATTTGTAGTCTTAAGTCTCATTCCCATAGTTAGTCAGTATTTATTACACAGTGATCACAATCTCCAAGACCACATATTTTATTTATATATTTGTACTTTATTGTGCATTCCATAGTACAAGATGTTGGCAAAAAGAAATAGCATGACTTTATCTGGAGGAAGCATCAAGAATCAAAAGAAGGGGAATAGAATTGTAAGTGTAGCTAGCAGCACTTGGAAGAGGAAGAAGAAAGGTTGTTAGCTGGTGTGTTCTTGAAATCAAGTATGTCTTTATTAGAACTACAGGGAACTACATGGATCTGATTGCTGAATAGTTCACAAAAGTGGAATGGCAATGAATGAACTTTTATGATACCGTCATAAAATTTATGAAGAACAAAAGGAAACTTACAAAGCAGACCACACTAATGAGATTCTTCTCAAAAGCTACATCCAGTATTCCTACCCTTACAAGTACTTCTATTTCTTTGCAGTCATCTCCCTTGCCATAGTCCTCTAGAGTTCCCGATAACTGCAACAATGACAATAATGACCTGAAACCATTTTGGCTTCAACCCTTTGAAGGATTCAACAACTAAAATATTAATCTCAGTGATTTTTTAAATAAATGAACTTAATTTTTTTAATACAGTACAATTTAATAATTTTTGCTGATTGTATTTTTATGTTCTGTAATATGCAAGATATGCTTGCTAAAGCAAATTTATCGAGATGGAGTTTCCTTTTGACTGACTTACTTCTGCTGTAAACCAAAACACTGCTTATTTCAAAATATTTTCACAAATGTTTTCGAACTTAGTTCTTCTTCAGGTGAATAAATCGGGTAGAATCGATGTTATTCGAAAATCTGAACGTAATCCGTTCAGCTTTTCGAATAACATCGATTCTACCCGATTTATTCACCTGAAGAAGAACTAAGTTCGAAAACATTTGTGAAAATATTTTGAAATAAGCAGTGTTTTGGTTTACAGCAGAAGTAAGTCGTTTATTTTACAGTGTGTTTATAAGAGATTATTTCCTTTTGACCATTTCTTTATCAAGAATAATTAAAACAATTACGCTCCTTGTCTATCAACTAATTCACTCAACAACCTAGTCATAGCAACAGAACTCAGTCATTATGTAAGGAATGTCAGAACTCCAATATTTGAAAAACAAAGCATATGGATAATGTATCAAACACAATACCAATCTCTCTCTCTCTCTCTATATATATATATATACATATACAAATTACTGATGAAATTAAATATACACAATTTATGACATATTTACATACCATTTTCATATTAAGTAAAAGTTCTAAATCTGTCATCAGTATAATGAAAAGAGAATCACTATTGAAACCAAAATGTAAGAATGTAAAAGAATAATCATGTTAAATGATATGAAGTGTTATTTCAGCTGCAGACATGTCAAGTTTACAGAAGGTTCCAAAAAATAATACAATTATGTAGATGTAATCCTTCAATAAAGTGTGGTTCTTCAAATCTGCTGTCAGAATTTATAGTAATTTCATATTACTTAAATTTAAATAGTATAAACAAACTAACCTTTTTATATGTAAGCATCTCACTTAAACAAGATGAAATTATGAAAACAAATTTAATTATTTATTTGAACAGAATAAAACATACTGCAAAAATAATTAAATTACTTATACATGAAAGATATTGTATGCCATTAATTATATAATTGCACCATGTCTTAAAGATTACCATTTTAGTTGAAAGTCAATGTACAAAATAGATTTATGATGAAATATCATGGACTTAAGCCTAATACTCACCTGCTGTGTACGTAACTGGCTGGCTTTTGGTGGCTTTTTTCGTAAATAAGTCACCGTATCCCAATCAGACTCCGACATTTTAAGTAGTTAAGTTTGTCTTTAATATTTTAATAGATATATTTGGTCGATTTCAAGGAAAAAATTTTTCAGATTAGAAAATTTTAACGAAGTAAACAACGAAAATGGCGACTATGAGAGATGCTTTTAAACGCCCTCTGTCGGAAAAATCATTTTATTATTCTTGTGCTGCCCTCTAGCTACAACTGATGATAATTCATAAAAAAAAAAAAAAACATGGATATTGTACAAAATCAAATAAGTAGAAATAAGTGGAAAATAAATAATGTCATTTAAGATGATCCGTAAAAATAGTTTATCATTCGTTTTCTGGCAAAAATTTAAATTAAAAAATCTACTTGATGAAAATTATTCGTTAAGGTCGCGTTTCTTTATGCAGCGCTGCTCGTTCGCTACACAGCAAAGCGTTTCTAAATGAAGCGCTGTAATGTAGCAAACCATCTTTTTTAAAACTCTTTCCGCTTTGTGGGCACTAAGAGGGTCTCTATTAGCAAGCCCATTATGGGTTCGTGTCAGGCCTATAATGGGACGGCCGGTTGGTAAGGGACGGGGCCCGACATATCCGAATGGACCACTCCCCGAAAAATTCCTGGAGATTTTTCCGACCCGTCCGGAATCGAACACGGGTCCCCAGAGCGGTAGGCTGTCACCTTAACCTTTCGGCCATCCGGCTGTCTGTAGCGAACCGTTTCTGAACGTTTGGTCGCGAGCAGCTCTTCATACTCGATCGCTACACAGCAAAGCATTTCTAAATGAAGCTCTGTAAAGTAGCGAACCGTTTTTAAACGTTTGCTTGAAGAGATCGTTGCAGCAATACACGTGTAAAACAAAATGGACGCTTGTATATGTAATGTGATATTATACTGTGAAAAAAAAGTCGAAGTGACTGTTGATTAAAATACAGTATTATGGAAAGATTAAGAAGGATTTAATTTTATAAAATAATTCTGAAAGTTACCTGAAGAATAACAAAATACCATGTTTTAAATATAATTATCTGTCTTCTATCTCTACTTCGCTCACATTTTCGGAAAGAGGAATGCTCAATTCTTTATATCTCTTTATTTAAATGTTGTAGTTCTTTAACTAAAGTATCATTTTCGGCTGTAACTGGAATTAAAGGATAGATTATGACCAGAGCCGTAACTAGGGTATGGTCAATGTGGCCCCCGCCATAGGCGCCAATTTAATAAAGGCGCCAACTAGAAGGTTTCCAAATAATATGTATTCGAAATTAACAACACAAAAAACTTTTTTATATTTATATTTATATAGTATTTAAATGTCATTAGATAATTTTTTTACAATACCATTTTTTAGAATAAAATTATTACTTTTTTAATAATAAAAATTGAAAAGGCGCCATTTTTATTCTTGGCCATAGGTGTCCAAAATCCTAGTTATGGCTCTGATTACGGCATTTATGTTTAGCTCAAGCGGAAAGCGTTTTTAGAAACACTTTTCGCTTGGTTAACCCGGGTTGCTATCTCCTAATCTCAGTTTAAGGCTAAACAGTACTGGAAAAAGGCCACAAAAAGGCCAGTCAGTATTTTTTTTCAAAAACAAACCAAGTTTCATATTGCTTTCTTGTTCTAAGTACTTTGGGGCAAAAAGAAGATACATTCAAATAGGCTATAATATTCAAAAAGGATGAAAAGAACACACAATACAAATCAAATGCAAAATATATTTTTATTACAAACATAAGAAAAGCGCCAAATTTAGATCATTATCGTCCATACCTGAATGACATTCGGTATACACCGTGTCTGTTGAAAAGTTTTTAGCATTTCTGAAGATGCAGGAAAGTCTTTGCAACATTTCCCTGAAAGCAGTAACACTGCTCTGATTCTAACAATCGTACAATGGTTTGCTGTCATTAGAAGTAGTGGAAGCGCCGCTTCCCTTGTATTTTCTAAAAAATAAATACATATTGCATGATTATTTTCATATTTTAACGTATTTTGGATTAATTAAAATTAATATTTTATTATAACCGCATTATGTATCTTATTACAAATTTCTATACTATACGTGAAAAAAAAAACGATAAGATTGCTATTGTATACTCGAATATCAATGGCAGAATGGAAGCCCTGGGCCGTGTTCAGTAACGCAGAATTCTTGCTAAGTCTAGTTATGCTGCGATGTTGAACTCGTTTCTAACTACTGCTTGACTCCTCCCACCACTATCATCTTTTATGTAGTTTTAGCTCCGCCCACTAAGCCACTCAGAATTCTAACTTAGGTGTTCTGCGTTACTGAACACGGCCCTGTATTGTCGAAACCAGGTCAGCTGCCAAAAAGCCAGATTATACGCATTCGTGCATGCGCTTTACAGAGCACCAGCCTCACGTGGTTTAGCTGGAAGCTACACACATATAACGCATCCAATGATTCTATCCCGGACCGGTTCTGGGCTGTTAGCCGCCTGCTTGCTAGATATTTGGCCGTCCTCGCACGATTATGTGAATCGCGAGTAGGTTTATAACTTAACACAACCGATCAGCGGATGTCCAATAGCGCTACTAAGCGTTGATTGGTGGATCAGAGTTTGCTTCAATCCGTATAAAAGGATTGAATTTAGGCGGTAAAAATGTTAAAAATGTTATTATTTTTTTTAAATTGCTTAAAAATTAAGGGGCGTCTTATAGTCCGTAGCGTCTTTATTATAGTCCGTAAAATACGGTAAGTTGTATTTATAATTACTATTAAATTTTTTTATTTTGTCACTATGGTTTTGTGTTGAGCAAGTCTCTAACAACCTATTATTAATAAGATTAAATTACAGTAATTAGCGTAATAAATATGGCTATAAATTGGAGGGCTTATCACATCAGGGACTGACTGGAGCAAAATAGACTAAATTTTTACAGAAGAAAATCTTATTTAAGTAGCAACTTATTTCTACTTAAGAAGTAATTAAATAATTAAGAGATTATGGAATTAAGGACATAAATAAAACCCTGCTGAAAGAGTCGGAATATTACTTAAACAAAAGTTTAACCGAACCAATCTCTAGCCCAGTATGGTGGGAACCGATTTCTTCGTAATATTAGATGTAATAAAGACAGAAATTTCTCCAGTTNTTTATGTACGTTTCTTTACAAAGCTATATTTAATTATAATTTTCTTTAAAAGTATATTCATACAATTGAAGAATATTTTGTACCGGGTATGTACTGTACTGTACATCCACCACACATTTTATTTTACCAAGTAAGTTTTTATTGTTTAATTTTTAATTGTAGCCCTTATATCGTGGCTAGCGATTCGGAATGTAATTGTGATATTAAAAATACATTTAGAGAAGTCTGCTATTTTTACTGGCTTATCGAACAAACGATACGAATGGACCCTAGACCACGCATGGCCAACATACGGCCCGCGGGCCAGATCCGACCCGTCTAATGAATTTATTTGGCCCGCAATCAATCTTTCAAAAGTAGGTATTGAAGTTCGAATAACTCGATGAAAAATTCTGACGCCTATAAAAAAAAAAAAAAAAAACAAAAAAGGTCAATAGCTCACTGAGCGTTTAGGGTTAATCCTCCATTACAAATCTCGTAAGTACAGCGCAGAGTGTTGATAAAGCATGATAATGTAAAAAATGTATGTGTAATCTCTATCTACAATTCAGTCTCTACGGGGTGACACCACAATGAGATTTCGCACCACCTCAAAATCTTCCTAAGACAGCCTCTGGTTCGGCCCGTGGAAAAAGTTTTCTTTCTAATTCGACTCGGGGCAAAAACTGTTGACCACCCCTGCCCTAGACCATCCCTGACGTGCAATTAACTGATTGCCCCTGGAAGTCGGTTTCTTACAGACACACAGCTTCCCTATCATCAAATGTCACGGCACGCCACTGCAATCGCATCAAGAAGGTTTAGCTGCATTCTGTTTCTTGCCTTCGTTTTCACAGAGAAAATACCCTTTTAACTACAGCATTGCTGATAGGGGCTATCAGACAAATAAGGGCAAAGCTTGCAAGCTCTAAATTCATGACGCTGAAGCACACCAATCCAAAATTGTTCTGTGTCTACAGGAAGTCCATCTTCTTAATTCTTATTCCAGTTCATGAGAATATTAAACATTACCTTTCCACGCACAAGCCACCGAGTGAATGAAGGTTTTTCAAATGGAAGTTGTTCAGTTCTGGTTTGTTGAAGATCTGGAGAAGTGTTCGTAGCTGCAAATAATTCCTTGAATACATCTCTTTGTAATTTGCTATGACGAAACCAACTTGGTATTTCTGCCAATAAAAATCCAATATTTGATGGGAGTTTGGATATTGAATGATGAATGCATAGTGCCAATGAATGACACACACACTTGACTTGAACACATGAAGGAGATATCTCTTTTAGTCTTGACCAAACAGAGTTATTGTATCCAGTCATGTTGGATGCACCATCTAATGAAAATCCTACACAATTCGTAAGGTTCTGGCCACATCTCTTGATTTCTCCATCAATCAGATTGAACAGGTTTTCACCTGTAGCTTCTTGAACTGGAATTAATTCTAGAGATTCAGTTACAATTTCATTTCTCCTATCACTAAGAAATTGTACTAACACAAGTGCTTTTGGGTAAAAATGTCAGTTGACTCATCGACGATGACGGCATATTTCTTATTATTTAAATCGGCAAAAAACTGTGTTTTTAACTCGGGAGAAACCACAGTTTTATCAAGTATGCACATTTACTTCGGTGCAATTTTATGTTCCAATATACTTCCATACCCATGTGCTTTCATTATTTCAGTTACATGGGCAGCCCGTCCTGGTGAGGCGCAAACAACGACCGAACTCCCAGGGCCGATTGCAGAGACAACGTTTAGAGGCCGACGGCGGGTTTACAGATCGGGTAGACCGCTGTTCAGAAAAATTTCATTGCAGAGACGGCGTTTCTCGCCTGCCACAGTGCAGACAGCGATTAGAAACAAGTTATTTGACCTACTTTCTAGACTCCCTCGATAGCAGGTTTAGAGGGCTTTTCAATTCGAGTGGTAGCTTTGTTCGTAGAAAAGTTTAGATAAAAACAGATATCGTTCCTTTGATAAATGCTGTAAACGGTACGAATCGACAAAATTATTCATTAATTGATTGCTTGGAGCAAGAACAACAAAATTACATACTTTAAATTTG